CCGACATCTGGTGAAAATTTCATGTCATTAGCACCTCTAGTAATATATTTACTGAGAAAAAATGTTGACGTGTTCAATACTTATTTTACCCGCTGTGTATATGAAATTGTTTTTAAAATAAAGGTTTAGCTCAAAATTGCTTTAAATTATAAATAAACAAATGCATTCACCTCAAATCCCCTTAGAAGTTACTAGAGTTTTGTGCAAATTGATTGTAAAATAACAAAAACTTTAGTAATTTACAGAAAACAGATTTAAATTGAAAAAGCTTTGGCAAAAACCACAAAAGGCATATTTACTTAAGTTTTAAATACGTTTTCTGATAATAGGAAGKTGACTGATCTGAAAAACAATTAGGTCAATTTAACTGCAGCTGTAATATTTAACATAAYCAGCTGACTGATTTAGTTCAGCATTTATCAGCCAAGCAGTGCTGGCAGAAGAACTCAGGTTTACTGAATGAATTTGATCCTAAATTCTATGAAGTACACAAAAACGTCACAAAATACTGTACTGGAGTAACGGATGAATCCCAACCTGTTAAGATTTCACAAATCTTAATCCAGTGTGGGTACATCTTGACTCAGACTCTTCACAAAGAAATTGCAGGATTCATGACATTTGTTTACTTATTCCTGAGTCCAGTATAACTCAGGGTACTTTCACCATGTTTGACTGAGGTCAAGCAAAGCTTAAAATTACTGTCAGGTTTATCAAATGGTGTGTAACCTGTAGTACTTAGCACTATGTAAATATGTATGAAGCTTTGAACGTGCCAAAACTGCTTTGGTACCTGATTCAAAGGTTTGTGAGGAAGTCAAGGATGTAACTTTAGGTCTACCACTGGAGGGTAAATTATGCTCTCTGCCTATTTATTTATTGAATGATTTACTTTTGTAAAACAATTCAGGATGTTTTGGGCTTAAATACATTGTAATGTTTTTACTGCCATTTACTTAACTTTCCTGTTTTCTTTGTATTTACTCTATTCCTTTTCAACAATTAAGACGCTTAACCCCTACCCATTTTTATTAAGAGTAACAAACATTTTACATTTTTAGGATGTATTATACAACATACCTAAATTTCTCAATTTTCCAACAGTATTTAGACTACCTGGTGCAGTACAATTTGGCTAGGAAAAAATGCAACTCAACAAATCCAGCCATAATGAGATGAGAGCAGACTAAAAACCCTGCAGGTCATTTTCAGCAGTTATGCTTAAATGACAAATTTTGAAATCAGGTCAAAGTTACCTAAAGACGAGCTTCGTCTCAACCAGCTCATTTGTACTTTGTTAAAGCAAATGTCATTTTATTGGGTGGTGGTGGGGGTATATATTGCCCAAATCAAATCATTGTGATAGTCATAATCATAAGCAAATTACACCCATGGAAGTAAGTTTGTGCAAAACCAAGACTTTATACACTGCTCAAATAAAAGGGAACACTTAAACACACGCCAACTCCTGATCTTAATCAAATATTCGCATTGAGTACTTTGTTCTGTACAGAGTTGAATGTGCTTCACAAAAGTTTGATTTACTTGGACTTAGCGTGCGTTTAAGTGTTTCTTTTTGAGCAGTGTAGTTTAGCAGCCAAGTAAATTTTAACCAATTTAAAATATAAAAATCATACAGTAAAACTGGTTGAATACATCACGGAATTTGCAATAAACTAGAGAATTGCMATTTATTGGGTTCACAAGTGTCTAGACGACAGGGCATTATGTCAAGTTGATTCAAGTAGTAWTCTACAAAAATGCAAGTCTAGCCTCAGGACGTCAAAACCAGTTCACACMGGCCACAAGATCAGGTTTTAACTGTACAGTAGTTCAGTGAAAATTTAGAGTTAAGGAATGTGTTTAGGCCACTTTATGTTTCAGAAACACACATGTAGGTGGCTGTAAGGTTACTTTCTCCACAGAAACATTGGACTATTGAACTGTAAATCACACAAGACAGAACTCCAGCTTAAATGTTTATTCAGGTAAAGCAGAACAGAAAAGATACAATGCTTTWAAAATGCAACTTTCTGAAGAGACCTTAAAAAGCGGCTAATGACTAATCAGTTGGAGCAGAAGATTAGAACAAAAAAAAAACAAACATTTTCCACTCTGGGTCATTTCTTTTTAGGRACTCTTTAGCTCTTGCCCCCCAGGGAGTGCTTGTCAAACAGGTACTCTGCCATCTTGTTGGTGTTGGCATCCATGCGGGTCAGGTTAGTGATGTAATCTCCCAGCTTCTTGATGGCCTCCACCTGCTCATTCAGGTAATGGGTCTCCAGGAAGTCGCACAGCTGGAAGAAGAGATCAGTTAGTTTGAGAGAATCGGCCATTTTAAAAACCGTTTTACCCTTAAAGAGTGAAAACTTACATGAGGATCTGTGRGGTCAGAGGCCAGTTTGTGCAGATCCAGCAGGGCCTGGTTGACTTTCTTCTCCAGTTGCAGGGCGCACTGCATGGCCTCCAGACCACTTCCCCACTCGTCACGCTCTGGTTTCTGCAGGGAAATACATTAAATTAAAACTTTTTTTTTTGGATACATTTTCTGAGACTAAAGAGTTAAAAGTTGAAATGCTCACCTTGACATCCTGGAGGAAGATGCGTCCTCCCCTCTTGTTCTGGAAGTCCAGCAGCTTCTCAGCGTGCTCCTTCTCCTCATGACTGTTCTCCTTGAAGAAGTGAGCGAAGCCTGGCAGGGCCACATCATCACGGGAGAAGTAGTAGGCCTGTTGGGGGAGGGGAGACCATTATTAAACTGTTCAGGTATCATTATCCGGTTAAAGACGCCTTTAGATAAGTTTAGAGGTCGTTCAGTGGTTAAGACATGAATCATGACTTGGTTTAAAAAACTTTAAGCCTCAGAAAAACACCCATAACAAGCTACCATAGCATGACTCAGCATTTTTTTTAAAATAGACACTCCCTTACAGACAAGCTGTTAGTCACTGATTAAACCAAGAATAACTTCTGCAGTTTAAATACATGTTTTCAGCGGACAGACTCGCATGGTTAGAGATAAGTTTATAAAACTAAAGATGTCTTACCATGGAGGTGTAGGTGTAGGAGGCAAACAGCTCCATGTTGACCATCCTGTTGATGGCGGCCTCGCAGTCGCGGTGGTAGTTCTGGCGCACCTGAGAATCCATGTCAGCTGGAGTTTTTCTGGTCCTTTTTAAACAAAAAACGGTAGAAAAATAAAGCTGTTTCGGTAGATTCAAGTAAACAGGAGGTTTGGTGAAATGCTGGCTGGTCGTCTGACAAAAAGCTCCGGGACGAAGGAAGAAGAAGCTCCGTTCAAACACTGTTGAAGCAAGAACTCCTCGATGTGAAATGGAGGCGACGGCTGCCTGAATTTATACTCCGCTGAGAGTCTCGTGACACTCGTGACGTCACTCCGCAGATCTCGGCCAATCACAAAAAGAAAACCCGGTAAACAAAAGGCCAAGCGTGTACATTTCCATTTCCCTCCCAGTTTCACAGAAACTGATGTAATATGATCTGTTGACTGTCAGCCACTTAGGATGACAATGCATTTTTTCGGGTTTTTTTGCAAAGCTGCATTTTGAATGAATTTTTCTTACTTTTAACCATATTTGAAAATAAAAAGGAACAAAAATGAATGAAAATGATTTACATAAACTGTTATTTTTAAGTTGCAAAAAGCTGAAGCCTTACAGCCACAAAATGACAGCTGTTAAAGACCTGGCATCACAGCAAATAACCACTAACCGCTCCTTYAACAGACCCAGWACAGAACAAAACTGTTTTTGTATTGAAGGAGGCTACATGGGRCATATGCTGTTAAACGGGCCAGATATGGTCCTTGTTACAATGTTAAAAAGCCCATGAGGTATTATTTAAATGTGTAAGAACTGACTCAACAGTGACAATCATTTTTACTTAAAAATAAGCATAGTCTTATTTAATCAACTTTGAAATCAAGAGAAATAACTTTTATTATCTATCTGGCTATCTATCTATCTATCTATCTATCTATCTATCTATCTATCTATCTATCTATCTATCTATCTATCTAT